GGGACCACCCCACAACCCTGGCTGGGAGTACCCTGGGACCACCCCACAACCCTGGCTGGGAGTACCCTGGGACCACCCCACAACCCTGGCTGGGAGTACCCTGGGACCACCCCACAACCCTGGCTGGGAGTACCCTGGGACCACCCCACAACCCTGGCTGGGAGTACCCTGGGACCACCCCACAACCCTGGCTGGGAGTACCCTGGGACCACCCCACAACCCTGGCTGGGAGTACCCTGGGACCACCCCACAACCCTGGCTGGGAGTACCCTGGGATCACCACACAACCCCAGCTGGAGCACCCTGGGGCCAGCATGGACTGTGCCAGGTGTTTTGCCTATCTTGCTTCCTGCAAGGCAAGGTGCTGTACTGGGCTGGGAACATCCTGCTCTCCCACCCTGGGGTGTGTAGGGATGAGAGGTGGCTCTGACTGTCTCGTCTTGGGGATTGAGGTGCTCCCAGCTCCCCTTCACTGGGAAGGGTGGAAAATACATTTGTGTCTATGTGCCAGTGGCTGGGTGGAAATATGAGTGTGATTCTCTGGTGAACATCCCTGCTAGGATCTGTGGGGCTTGTCCCCACTGCAGGTGGTTGTGCACCCTGTTTTGGGTGTCTCTTGTGACCTAGGTCCCGCTGGCTGGGGAAGGCAGCCTGGGGGTGTTCCAGCCCCAGCCTGCCTGGAGACTGATCTGCCTTTCCAGGGAGAGGGACTTTGGCCCAAAGGGTCTTTCATAGCCCACTTGAGACAAATTCCCAGTGCTGGTGTCCATCAGGCTGCTGAGGGCCAAAAGGGAAAGGAGTGGGGCCACAATGAGAGAGGAGAGGCTGAAGAAGCCGAAACTGGGCCAGGAGAAATGAATGGTGAAACCTCCAGCGAATGCCGCAGGGTGTGCCGGGCACAACCGATACCCACTGAGCTTGGGGTCATAAAAACTCAGCTGGTCCCAGTGCCAAGCATGGGCACAGGCTCCCGTGGGTGGACTCTGCTCTGTGCAGGGCTGAGCTGGTTTCAGGCTGAGCCACAGGCGGCCACGTGTGAGCATGGTGAAGCTGCCAATGTGTTCCCCCATAGCAGCCAACCCTCTCCCAGGGCTGATGCCTGTGGTGATCCCACAGCCCCTTGCCCAGGGTTTGTCCTCTCAGGGTTGCTCTGGGTGCCAAGAGTTGGTATCACTGGAAGTCCTGTGCCCTATGGCTGGGATCAGAGAAGACCTGAGCTCTGACCCATTTCCAGCACCCCAGAGAGGAAATCCTGGGTGCAAAGGGCACTGCAGCACGGCTGTGAGGGCAAAGCCAAACCTTCCCTCCAGCATGGAGCAGCTGGTGCTGCCTCTCCTGCCTGTGCCCCTTGGTGCCACACTCATGGCCAAGGAGGCTGAAGCACCAGTGGTGGAGCAGGGCATGGGGCGGGCACTGGGGGAATAGGGAGAGAGTGTGGGATGGGGTCTGTGCTCTGGAGTGTGGTGGCAGTGAGCACCCAAACTGCTCCCCCAAAGCCATCCCCTCCCTGGCACTTGCCATGTGCTGGGAAGGGGCAGTGGCAGAGGCTGCCCCCGTGCCTTGGGGACATTGCAGGGGCCAATGTGACACAGCGGGGATCCTGCACCTTGGCCTGCTTAGGGTCCTCAGTGCCACATGTGTCCCCATGCTGTCCTTCAGCAATGTGTCCTGTCCTTTATGTCCCCATGCCACTCATGTCCCCATGCTGTCCTGCAGCACTGCCCCATGTCACTCATGCCCCCATGTCACTCGTGTCCCTATGCTGTCCTGCAGCAATGCCACTCATGCCCCCATGTCACTCATATCCCCGGCCTGCTTAGGGTCCTCAGTGCCACATGTGTCCCCATGCTGTCCTTCAGCAATGTGTCCTGTCCTTTATGTCCCCATGCCACTCATGTCCCCATGCTGTCCTGCAGCACTGCCCCATGTCACTCATGCCCCCATGTCACTCGTGTCCCTATGCTGTCCTGCAGCAATGCCACTCATGCCCCCATGTCACTCATATCCCCATGCTGTCCTGCAGCAATGCCACTCATGTTGTTGCTCATATGCTGTCCTGCAGCAATGCCACTCATGTCCCCATGTTGCTCATGTCCCTGTGTTTATCTTCAGCACTGCCTCATGTCACTCATGTCCCCAAGTCACTCATCCCTATGTTTATCTTCAGCACTGCCCCATGTCACTCATGTCCCCATGTCACTCGTGTCCCCATGCTGTCCTGCAGCCCTTCCCACCCTGATGGTGAGCAGGACAGCCCAGCTGAAGGCCATGCTCTCCAGCAGGTGTGTCCATGACCGCTGTGCCCTGTCCCCACAGGAGCTGTCGATGGCAACGATGACGATGCAGCTGGGAGGGCTGATGATGGCAGCTGTGGGCTGGTTGGGCTCCATCCTCACCTGTGCCCTGCCCATGTGGAAGGTGACAGCCTTCATCGGCTCCAACATCGTGGTGGCCCAGGTCTTCTGGGAAGGGCTGTGGATGAACTGTGTGTACGAGAGCACTGGGCAGATGCAGTGCAAGGGTTATGACTCCCTGCTGGAGCTCACCTCTGACCTACAAGCTGCTCGTGCCTTGGTGGTCACCTCCATCTTTGTGGCCTTCCTCGCCTTCCTCATCTCCCTCTCGGGTGCAGACTGCACTCGCTGTGTGGATGACAGCAACGCCAAGAACAGGATCTCCGTGGTGGCAGGTGTCATTTTCATCCTGTCCAGCATCATGCTGCTCATCCCTGTGTCCTGGTCTGCTAACAGCATTGTCAGCAACTTCTACAACCCTATGGTACCTCAAGCCCTCAAGAGAGAGCTGGGGGCTGCTCTCTACATTGGTTGGGCCTCCAGTGCCCTCCAGCTCTTTGGTGGAAGCATCCTGTGCTGCTCAGGCCCCCAGTCCCAGCAGGATTCCTACCCCAGAAAGTACAGAGGGGTGAAAACCTGTGGCCCCATGGGTTATGCCATGAAGGACTATGTATAAGCCACTGTGCCCAAGTGCCAGCCCAAAGGAGAGCACCACTGTCCCTGTCCTGCTTCCCTGTGCCAGCCCTGCCCATGCACTACCTCCTCCTCCTCCTCTTTCCCATCCCCATCCCCATGGTCCTCCCAGCTGTGCCTTTCCCCAGAGCAGGGACTATAAACATCCTGGTGCCACTGAGGCTGCCTGGGCTCATTTTGAATGGTGTGGGGAGGATGGTGGCATGTCCTGAGGGTGCTGTGCCCTGTCAGCCTGCTGCCAGCTCAGGGCTGCTGCCCCAGCACCTGGCATGTCCCCATGTCCCCATGGGGATGCAGCAGCAGCCAGGCAAGGCACTCCTGGTGTACCCCACAGCAGGGAAACTGAGACAGGGAGAGGATGCTAAGAGGGGCACAGGGGTCACCAAGTTTTCTGAGCCCCCAAAGGGTGTGAGAGGACCCCAGAGAAAAGCCAAATCCCAGTCCCAGGCTCTTGGTCATCTACCCCAGAGGGTCCATAGCTCCAAGAATATCACACAGCAGGCAGGCAGCAGGGACAGAGGTTTATTGAACAGTCAAGTGAAGGGTTGGGGACAGCCATGATCCCCAAGTGCCCAGGAGACAGTGCTGGGAACAAACAGGGGGAGAGGGCAGTAGGGAAGCTATCCACAGTGGCCACAGAGACCCCAAGACTTGGTGGGACAATGCAGAGAGGCGACAAACAGTGGCCACAGAGACCCCAAGACTTCGTGGGACAATGCAGAGAGCCATGGGGAGGGCAAGTGTGGGATGTCCTGGGTGGGTGATGGGGACAGACACAGACACCACCCCCAGCAGGATAGAACTCCCAAGGGGAAGGAAGTAACCTGTTCCACAAGGCCATGGGAACAGGATGAGCAGGAACAGGCCTGCGGGAAGGGAAAAGGGATAAACCCAAATATCTCAGCAAGAGATTTGGGTAAAAAACTTCCCAAGGGAGCAGTGGAGGAGGAATTGTGGAGGCAGCACAGCAAGCGGCGGGGGGAACGGGCGGGGCAGGCAGTGCGGAGAGGCTCCAGGGTGGGGAGCAGCCACCAGCTCCCCAAATCCCTTCCAAACTCATTTCCCACCCAGACCATTAAGTGCAAAGCTGTGGGAAAATGTGAGATTCAAGCAGCTGTTGCAGGATGAAAGGTGGATGTGATGCATGGAAAGTCTCTCCAGCTTAGTGCCACCTTGGTGCTGCTGCTCCTAGTCTGGAGGTGGAGGTCTCCCACTCCTCAGGGTTAATCCCTGGGGAGGATGAGGACAGGAAACCACAGGACATGGTGATGGGGACCCACCTCCAGTAGTCCCCAGTAAAGACCATGAGGGTCTGGGGGTGTTAGATGAAGAAGGATCCAGATTTTGCCCATGAGTACATGGCAGGGAGAAGACATCCTGGACAGGAGATGGCTCTGAACTGCCATGTGGGTCTGTGAGATGTCACAGTGAGTGTTGAGGTGCTGGTGACAACACCTGAATATCAGAGCTAATGGTGGTGCCCAGAAGACCCTGGTGAAACCAGATCCTTCCCATGCTGAGGAGCAGACAAAGTTCCCAGGCCCAGACCTCAGGGAGAAGGAGCCAGGGAAGGGTACGGGAACACTACCCCAAAGTGCTGTCACCCCCAGCAGCCTCCCTGCTCCAAGGGGAGTCACTGGGCTGAGTTTTATAAGAGGCCAAGCACTCACCCCCCCTCCAGAGCCACAGCAGCTCTCAGCCCTCCTCCAGGGGAGGGACAGGGCATTTCTGGTAGATGTAGACCACCCCAGATATGTAGCCAGTGCCCTGGGTGCTCTCCTCCTCGGAGGTGGCTCTCTCCCAGTGCTCCACCTCCTGGGCCAGCAGCTTCTGCCAGGCTCCACACTTCTCCAGCTCCCCCAGCGCTGCCTCCAGCTCTGCCTTGTACCGCAGGTTCGAGGGGTTGCTCCTCGTGGTCAGGCAGAGGAAGCCACCTGCAGGACAGGGGACACTGACACAAGGTGTCCCTCACTGGGGATGGAATCCCCGGGGAAAGGGTAGGGGCAAGGGGGGGCAGTGAGAGACTGCCAGGAGTCAGTGGGCACGGGATGGGAAGGGCACAGGCAGGGTACAGACAGGGCATGAGCAGGGCAGGAGAGCAGGGGAAAGGCAGGCCAGTAAGCAGGGAACGGGAAGGGCACAAACAGAGCAGAGACAGGGCAGAGAGGAGGGGATAGGCAGGGCAGGAAGCCCGTGGGAAAGGGACACACAGGACAGCAGGCAAGGAGGACAGACAGGGCACAGGCAAGGGATGGGCAGGGCAGGGGATGGGAACAGCACAAACAGGGCAGAGACAGGGCAGGAGGCAGTGGACAGGCAAGGCAGGTCAGTGGGTAGGGGATGGGCAGGGCACAGACAGGGCACGGACAGGGCAGGAGAGCACGGGACAGGCAGGGCAGGAAGCCAGTGGGAATGGGGTGAAGGGACGGGCAGGAGACAGGCAGGATGCCATGCCTGAGCACA